ACTCTGGCGCCCCCGCGGCCAGCCTCGGGCAGCCCCATGCTGGTGCTTCTACACACATGTCCAGCCTATAACGCAGTAACTGTGAGCTGGGGAGATTCCGATCCTCTGTGCCCCAACTGCACCAGCCCGAGTCCCCGCTTGGTAGGTGTTAGATGAAGTGAATTCGACCTCTATACTGTCTGGCCCACCACCTCCTCTCAGATTCATCTCCACTGTCCCCTCAGCCTCACCTGCCTCCTTGCTGTTCCCACAATACATACCTCAAGAACTTGGCACCTGCTGGTCCCTCAACCTAGAACACTCTTGCCCCAAATATCTACTTGACTCACCTCTCACCTCCTTCATGTCTTGACTCTAATGGTCCCGACTCAATGAGGCCTTACCTAACCCCTCTACTGAAATTGCGGCCCGTATCCCACACCTCTTATTCCTCCTCACTGCTTTATTTCTCTGACAGCACATACCATCTCATATACTGCATATTTTATTTATCTTGTTTACTATCTGTCTCCCCCCCGGGAATGTACACACCAAAAGGGCAGAGATTTTTATTTGTTTTGTTCACTGCTACATCCCCAGTTCCTGGAATGGCACCTTGTACATTACAGATGCTCAATAAACGATAACTTAACATGCCAGGCCCCATTCCGGCATTGGGGAATTGAGTGGGGACACAAAACAAAAGCCCTTTCGTTTATGAGGCTGACACTATAGTGAAGGAAACAGACCATAAATGGATAAATGTGTCACTGGTCCGATGTTGACGAGGGCTCCGATGAGAAGGGGACGTTAGGAGGCTGGTCACGCGCGTGTCTAACAGGGCCTGGCAGGTGTAGTATGGAACCGATGCTGAGGGGTTGAGGGGCTGCTAGGTCTCCAGCGCTGTCTCTTTCCATCATCTCTGCAACTCTGGGCAGGTCTGACCCATCTTCTTGGTCATTGCGCCCTGGCATTTGAGCTTCCCACTCTGTACTGCTTTCACACAAGAAGGGTCTTCAGGCGTCCCTCAGGCCCGGCCCCTGCCTCTCAACAGTCCCAGCTGGTGCCTCCTTAAGGTAGTTCCTGCCCACACCCCAGCCCTCCAGTTGTCCAGTGCCAAGGCCAGTTCCCCAACCCCTGGTGAGGTCTCTCACGGTGCCTTCGCTCCCACACCAGGCTGGGAAGGGAGGGCCTGCCATCTGAACAATGTGGAAAGAAACAAATTGCTTTGACCTTAGAGAGGAAAATGAGTTTATTAAGTGGGGGCAGCCCAGCCTGCAGGTTACCCAGCTAGGGCACCAGCTTAGACCATAGTGTTCACTTGGAGCCCACCAGCCTGGTCTCCACCCATGTGCCCTGCCCGGTTCACCCCGGAGCAGCTCCCCAGGGTGATATCTAAGACCTAAGCAGTGACTCCCCTTCCACCTTTGAGGCTTGTAGCTGCCGCATGACCAACCTCTGCCCTGCCAATTCATTCATTCATTTATTCAATGCATGTGCACTGAGTGGCTACCGTGCACTCGGCCCTTTGTTAGCTATTAGACAAGGGGATGGAACTCTCTCTGTGCCTCAGTTTCCTCATCTGTAAAATATGGTGTGGGTTGGGGATCATAGGATTCATTGCTGGTTGGGTTTTTCTCTGGTTCCTTGAGGGGCTTTGGGAAGACAAGAGGCAGCTGGGAGAGAAGCTCATATGTTTCTAGTTTAATGTCACTGTCCCTTCCAGGGCTGGAGCTCCCCAAAAGGTCCTTCAGAGGGGCTCGAAGTGTCTGGGAGAGCCCAAGGTCTGGGTGAGGTGGGGGCATGCAGAGCCCCCAGGCTACTCTGCCCTGAGCTCCTCCCTCTCACCCCCTCTCTTCTTGGGTACCCCCTCAACAAGGCCCCTCAAGAGTGTCTGGATTGGCCTTTTTCCACCCCAGGAGTTCATGGTCCTGGGCCACAAGCTCCCAGTTCCCACATCTGGCGCCCCATCTGAGCACGGTGGGCCACGTTCTGGGTGGTGCCCTCAAGCAGCCCCCAGAACTGAGGTGAGTGTCTCTTGCCTAGACCCTGTGGACTGGAGCCCTGGCAACGTGCAGAAGTGGCTCCTGTGGACAGAGCACCAGTACCGGCTGCCTCCCGTGGGCAAAGCCTTCCAGGAGCTGGGGGGCAAGGAGCTGTGCGCCATGTCAGAGGAGCAGTTCCGCCAGCGGTCACCCCTGGGCGGGGATGTGCTGCACGCCCACCTGGACATCTGGAAATCAGGTGGGACACGGTGTGGATGGGAGCCAGGGACACCAAGGAGACTCTTAGGCCAGGATGCTGGCTGGGAGTTACTCTCTGATGGGCTCTGCTCTGACTCCCAGCCCCTGTTGCAGCTGTGTCCCTGGAACCTGGGTGAACTGACCAGCCCTGACCTCTTCCAGCCCTGGCCAAACACACAGAACTTAGGATAGAGAACATGGAAAGTTAGAAAGTAGAAATTAGACTGTGAGCACATGGGATGGCAGAGCTGACAGGACTGTAGTTGCTATGAAGTCCTTCTTTGTCCTTCTTAAAATTTTATTTGTTTGTTTTCTGTTGTTTTTCATTAAAGAAGTAATGAATAAATGTGTATGAATGAAAAAAAAAAACATAGCGAAAAATAGTATACCATGAAAAATAATTCTCCACACTCCTGATCCCCAGCCTTCAAATTTCCCTAGAGGAACCACTATTAGCAGTTTCTTGGGGACCTGGCCAGGAAAAGCCGATGCATATACAAGCCCATATACGAGTGTGATTTTTACCCTATTTAAAACATGAATAGTATCAAAGTGTCACATTGTTCCATACTTAACAGTGCATCTGGGTCTTGTTCCCCATCAGGATGCCTATAGCTGCCCTATTCTTTTTAAAGGCTGCATGCCGACCCCATCTCCACCTCATTGGGTGCCACTGTGTGCCCTGCACAGAGCCATATGCTTTGGAGGAAAGAGGGTGTGCTCATTGGGTCAAGGCTCCTGCACTTAGGGACCCAGATGAATAAGGGGACAGGACCGACTCATATGACCCCGTGAGAGACCAGTGTCCCGCCCCACCCCAGGCTCCTTGACAGTGGCTACCAAGGGCAGTGGTCAGTACCAGGCTGAATGCCAGTTGGTGATTAAGCAGAAGCTGGCTGCCTGGCCCCCTGCTATCACTGCTTGGTCTGAGAGTGGGGGAGATGGGAGGAGGCCAGGTGGAGAGCAGGAGGAGGTACAAGTGCTTGGTGAATTTGGCAGCTGGAGAGCAGGGAACTTTTATTATGCCGGTCACTGAACAAGGTGCTGAGACTCTGTCACCTTAGATCCTTGCAAGATCTGTGAGGGAGTGTCTGACATCATTTCGTAGGCGAGAAAGGGAGGCAGAGCAAGGCTCCACTTCTGGTCTCCTGTCTGAACCACCACGGGCTGCATTCAAGGTCTCTAAGGCCCCTCCCAGCTCTGAAATCCTAAATTTCCTTCTAGGAAGTAGCTCCAGACTGGCAAGAGGGAGGGAACCATCAGGAAACCTGGGCCATAGGGGGGCCTCTGTGGCCCTACAGTCCCACCTAAATGCCCTCTTCCCCCCTTGCGGGTCTCTCCTGGATCACCAACCTTCTCCTTCTCTCCTTATCCTACAGCGGCCTGGATGAAAGAGAGGACTTCTCCGGGGGCAATTCACTACTGCGGTGAGCAGGGCAGTGCAGGGAGGAGGTGGGGGCTCTGAGGTCTACCGTTGAGGGGTGGCTGCCACTGAAGCAGGGAGCTGCCGCAGCTCCCCATTCACCACCACCCTCCCTGGCTGCCCAGCCTCGACCAACGAGGAGAGCTGGACGGACAGCGAAGTGGACTCATCCTGCTCTGGGCAGCCCATACACCTGTGGCAGTTCCTCAAGGAGCTGCTGCTCAAGCCCCACAGCTATGGCCGCTTCATCCGGTGGCTCAACAAGGAGAAAGGTAAGCTGAAGCCCGGGAGAGGTGCCGTCAGGCTCCGGGCCACAAGGGAAATGAGCGGGCAGAGAGGCCAGTGGAGGCCTGCCTGGGTTCCTACCAGGCACAGGGAGGGGTTGGGCCTGGGCTGAGGGGTGCTACTGCCCCCCACCTTTGCTCTGAAGAACAGATGCACCACTATCACAGGACCCATCCAAGGTCTGAGTGTAATTTGTACCCACGTCTGCCCAGGCTCTGTCTTGTTCAGGATCCCAATAGCCACACAGTGCCTGCGACACAGTAAGCTTTTGAAAATCTGCTCAGAATGGGACACAGTTTTTGCCCTCAAAACATCATAGCCTCTCTGGAAAGACTGATTGATGGTGCTCAGTGAGAAATACAATGTGAGCCACATATGTAATATTAGATTTTTAAGCAGCCACATTAAAAAAAATTTAAATTTTTTTGAATTTAATTTTAATACTTTTATTTAACTCAATATTATAAATTATTATAATTTTAACATATAACCAATATAAAATTTATTAATGAGGTTATTTACTAAGTCTTTGAAATCCAGTGTGTATTTTATGCTTATAGCACATATGAATTCAGACTTGCCACATTTCAAGAGCTATCATAGCTAGTGGCTACCTCATTGGACAGAGCAGGGCTAGATGGTTTTGTGTGTGTGTGTGTGTGTGTGTGTGTGTGTGTTTTGGCAAAGGCCAAGAAACCTGGGTTCTAGGCCCATTCTTGTCATTAGTAGCTCTGAGTGCCTAGACCTATCTTCAGATTCATTTATCCAACAAGCCTTCCTTGAGCACCTCCTCTGGTTCCATACTTGCTTAGCCGACATTTACAAAGAATTACAGTGGCCCGAGGATTTAGGGGGGATTCAGGTGCACCTAGCCCTCGAGGGACCTACAGTCTTGTAGGATACCTAGTGGTGAAACGAGCTGGTGTGCAGAGCATGTCCTGGCTGGGACAGGGCCATGGGTGCAGCTGTGCAGGTCCAGGAGGACGTCACAGAGGAGATAACTCTGGGGCTTAGTGTGGAGGATGAGATTGGGCTAGAGGGGGTAGAAGAGACGTTCTGCACAAGGTATGATGACTCTACATGTATATTTAAGACTGAGAGTGAGGCAGCTGTTCTGCCGGTCTTCTGGTCACCTGGTATTCCAGGGAGATGGTCCCAAGGTAGAGTTTTAGAGAAGGGAGATCAGGCAGGGCAGGGTGGTCTGGAAAGCCTGCCTAGAGGGGGTGTGCTGACCTGCGCCTTGCCAGGAGGGTTTAGAATGAGTATTGGGGGTATTGACAATGTAATAATTCTTCCCAAGGGGCACTTCCTTCAGACCCCACTCAGCACTTCCTATAACCACTCAGCAACATGGTACTCACTACAACCCCCTCTTACTGGCAAGAAAAGGGGCTTCAGACAGCTTCTAAAAGTAGAAAATGGCAGGGTCAGGATTCAAATCCAGTTCAGCCCAGTGCCAAATCCCCTCTTTCCACCACCTTCCCTGAATTAAATCTGCCAGAAAGGGCTGTGTGGACTAAAGTGTCTGAGAATGGCAAAGAGATCTTTTAGGCTTGGGAACTGTGAGGTGGTGGGGGTGGGGTTGGGGGACGACCTTGCCAGATGAGCCGTGGACACATTTGGAGCCCCACTGCGCTTCTGCATAAGGTGTGCAAACCCTACAGTAGGAGCAGAGGTTGGCAAGGGCTAGGCCCCTGGTGCCCCACATAACCCACTAAGAATAACCCACTCACTCTGCATCCAGTTCGTGACTCCATAGTATTACTTACCACTTATCGCACCCTGTGGCACACTCCTTGCACACATTTCTTTAACCCTCACCACAACCCTGGGAGTAGGTACCATGGCCCCCACGGCCTGGGCCTGGCTCTGCCCCTGCTGAATTTGGCTAGCTTAGCTCTCACAGACTAACCTGTTGGTCTCGGTCTTTCTCCTTCTTGCCATCCCCCATTTGCACCACTGGCTGTCTGGGCCCTCTTGCTTCCCCAGGCATCTTCAAAATCGAGGACTCCGCCCAGGTGGCCCGGCTGTGGGGCATCCGCAAGAACCGCCCTGCAATGAACTACGATAAGCTGAGCCGCTCCATCCGCCAGTATTACAAGAAGGGCATCATCCGGAAGCCGGACATCTCCCAGCGCCTCGTCTACCAGTTTGTGCACCCCATCTGAGGGCTGCAGACCAGGCCCAGGCCTGAAACTCACCCTCGCCAGACCTCCCTCCTGCCTGCCCCTGCCCTGGCCAGACCCTGAGCTGGGGGAGAGGGCGGTCCGATGGCTTTTGGAGTCCAAGGTCAGGGAGGGGATGGCCTACTGCTCCTAGGAGTATAAGTGAGCTCTCTAGAGCCTGAGGGCTCCCAGGTGGGGGTGCTTCCTCCTCAGGCCTGACTGTTCACATGCCCAGCCCATGCAGGATGGAGGGAGCCAGGGCTGTCCTCAGTGTTCACAGCTCCCCAGGGAAGGTCCTCCCTCCAGCCCAGCCTCTGACCCCAGCATTTCCAGAGCAGAGCTGACAGAATGGCAGTGACTTGGCTAAGGCCACTCACAGTCCAGTGCTCTGTGCCTCATTCTGCACCATGCCTGGCATGGTGCTAGGAAACATCCGTAACCCTGAGTTGGGGAGCCAAGGGTGCCTCTGGGAACGCATAATAAAGATACTAGAGAACTGGCATGGCCCCATTGTCTATGCAATGAGTGAGTGTCACAGCCCAGAAGCCATCAACGCTCTAAGTAGTTGTGGTCACAGGGGCCTTGGGTGGTCGAGAGAGGCTTTCTTGAGGTGGCATTGAGCTGAGCCTAAAAAGAAAGGGATAATTGATTGGTAGAAGCTGTGGGAGAGAGGCAATGAGTCCTCAAGGCCAAAGAAGGGCTGGAATGGCCCTCGTCTCCTCCCACCCTGGTGCGGGCTGAAAGAAGGAACGGGGCTGGACCTGAAGAGAGTCTATGCTTAAGACTGGAAAGAAGATGGTCTTCCGCCATCCTCTTGCTCTGCTGTAATCAGAGCTTGCTGCCTGGGCTGGGCCAACCACACGGGCTCTGGGCTGCGGCAGCAGGGGTATGGCACGGAGTGGATGCTTCAGTCCCCCTCATGGGACACTGGCTCTGAAGTGAACAGGGTAGAAGAGAGGTTGGCTTATTGCGGTTCCTCTGCCTCAAGAGTGAGGTCACGGACCTTAGTAGTTCCCTCTATGAAGCTGTGAGCCTTGTGAGCGTGATGTGAGGTGTAGGAGTGTGTGATAGGAAAAGGGTGTGGTCAGTGTGTGTGTGTGCATGTGTGTGTGTGTGTGCGTGCGCGCGTGTACGTGCGTGCGCGCGCACTGTGAGGGAGACTGGACCCATCACCCACTCTCTTGGGCAAGGCAGCTCACTACTCAGCTCCCTCATGCTTCCCTCACATTTGTTCATTAAACTCACAAGTCCTGAGGGCTGACTGTGAGCTTCCGCTGCATTTTTTGTCATTAACCTTCCCAATAAAATTAGGTGTTACTGCCCCATTTTGCAGATGATGAAACTAAGGCTCAGAGCAGTTAAGTGACTTGCTCACACACAACCAATCAGCAGCGGAACCAAGAACTGAACCCATCAGGACAGGGCTCTCTCTGCCCTTCCGTGCCTCCTCCTTCATGACTGGTCAGGACCCTTAGCCTCCATAACCCTTAGTGTCTGAGGATAGGCTTCCAGGAAACGGGAAGGGGAGCCAGCCAGTGCTGCCCATACCACTAAGGGTTAAATGCTGTCCTGTACTGCTGCCTTATGCCCTCAGCAATTTTATTGTCTTCAGAAGAAAGTTTACTCCTGGCAGTAAGCAAACAGCACGTTGGCATCTGTCAGCTGGAATTGGACCTGGAGGAAGAGGGGGCCCTGCCCCAGGCCTGTGCCTTGCTGAGCTCCTGCTGTCTGCCCACCCCCCAGGAGGGAGCAGACTGGGACCTTGGCCAGAACCCAGCTTGGCTCTGCTGAACTGATTTTGTCTCCCCCAACTGAGTCCCTGGAGCCACCTGCTTCTATGTCCCCAGCTGGGCCTGGGCCTGGGCCTGCAGAGGACTTGGATCTCAGGTAGGGGCTGGGAGGGAGGAGGGACAACGGAGGGTGGGGTTAGGAGCTAGGAGTGGGGAGCTGGAGCTACTCCAGAAATGGGACCTACACGGAGTGGGGTGGGGCAGCTCCCTGCTGCGTGGATCTGTCATGAGACACACATCCCCTTCCGGCACACTCCCATACGGTGACGCTTTGTGTGCCAGCAGCAAACTTGCAGATTCCTCTTTCTCCTTTGCACAGCTGCCCATCAGAACCCATCTAGCCTAGGTATCTCTACCCTCCTCATGGACCCCACCTCCGGGGCTCCTCATAACTGCCTAGAACAGCCTACTCAAATAAGACAAGGCAACCTTTTGTCCTTATTCGAAGAGTCCTCCATTTGGCTAAAACCAGGTACTTGTTACTGGAGGTAGATTTAAGGGAGAAAGGCTGTGGTGAGATAGAGAACAGATTCAACCCATCTCGACCTTTTCTCCCTGCTCTGAGCACGCCCTGAGGCTGCAGGAAAGCAGTAGGGGTGAGGGGATCAAAGTATATTTGCCTTGAATACTGGAGCTTGTTTCAGTGCCCCCCCCCAAGCTGCTGGGGCCAGAGGGGCCTCAGGGAGACATTTAACCAGACTGGGGAAAGCAGAGGCCCCCAGGGGAAGATAGGGGTGGGGACACAGTGAGCTGATAGCAGAGTTGGGACTGGACCTGGTACCCCTGGCCTGCCCCAGAAGAGACCTAGATGGGAGTATAAAGGTTAGAGCAGGGGCTGAGGCCAGGGCAGGGCCTGGGTCTGGCAGAACAGAGCTGAGAGTCCAAAGCCCGGGTCCTGCCCACTCCCCTGAGAAGTCTTCCCAGGGTCCCACGCAGAAATGCTGTCAGAGGTCAGGCAGGACACAGGGAAGCGTGGCGTGGCCTCATGTCACGCCACAGGGAGCCTGGGACTACAGAAAACCAGAAACCACAAGCCTCAGCAGTCACTTTTAGAATTTTGCTTTAAAAACTGAAACCTGGTCGGGAGTCAAATTCACCCTTAAATTGTGAACTTGGATCCTGAATGCTCCAGTTCTTGTCAGTGTTCATCACCAGGCAGGCACCCAGGACCCCCAGGAGCTTCAGAGAATGTAACATCCAAAGTAAATTTCCCTGCACAGATAGGACCTGGGGCCCTACAAGGTGAAGGGACTAGTCCTCAGACCCCTATCTCATTGGTGGTCAGCCAGGACAGCCCCCAGTTGTGCTGGGCACCCCCTCCCCAACACATATCCCAAATATAGGTAACTCTCCGAGACCTCGAAAGACACATGATTCAAGATGACGACACCCAGCCAGGTTGACACAGTTCTGGATTTTATCCACAGTCATACAATCACAACTTATATATATATATTTGTATTTATATACCTTTAAATTACACAATCATGTACAAAACAGGTGCATTGCTGAGACCACAGCACTTCTCAGAGTTTCACAAGTGTTGGACTAATGGAGTCAGGAAGCCAGGGGCGGCAGAAGGCGGGCAGCAGGGCAGCCCTGGCTCCTTGTAGAGCCAGGCTGCAGAATGGTGGTTAACTGGGGACAAAACACATTACTCACCGAGCCCCACGGGGCGGCCCGTGCAGCATCAAGGGTGCGGGCAGGGGGCTACAGGAGGCAGTGGGCACGGCAAGGGGCATGGCCCCCACGCTCTGTGTTGAGTGCCCTGACACCAGCACTGACAGGTGGGGCTGAACCCCCAGAGCTCAGGGGGTCTTCCAAGTGGGAGACCCTCTCACTCTGGGGCCTGAGGAGCCTGGGAATTGAGAGAGTGATCCCAAACGGGGCTATGGAAGTGGTTGCTCAGAAGGAATGGGGTTTTGAGTCCGTGCCCCAGAGTGGGCAGCTAGAATGCTGAGGAAAACAGGGCTTGGGGCCCAGCCTGGGCCACGGCCCCTCCCCAGGTACTAAGAAGCCACTGGCACAGACAGGGGGAGCCCAGGCCCCAAGGTACAGATGTGCCAGCTTCCTGACTTCCAAGGATAGGTGGTGAGGGACAGAGGCCCCCAAATCCAACTCCTGCCTGAAGGAGAGGCTGAAGGTTTCTGAAATTTTGCTTTAGGCTCCGAGGGGCTTAGGGCTGCATCAGAGGCCCAGAGAGCAGTGACAAGAAAGGGGGTTCTAGAGGAGGGGAGTTTGCCTATCCCTGGAGGTGCCATTGTCCCCACCCCCAACTCCCCTGGCCCCGAGGGAGGTCTGTCCCAGCTCGGACCCGTGCCAGAATCTGCCAGGGTCCTCTGTGCCCCCATGAACAAGGTCAGGGCCTTGGGGCTGGGGTCTGTAACCTCTTAATAGTGGGCTGTGAAGAGAAGCAGGGAATAAGAGGACTGAGAAGTGACAGCGGGGCTGGGGTATCACACTGTCTTTACCTAGAGGCCCAGGGGGCGCGGTGCTAGGGGAGGGGCAAGGGTGTCTACAGTCCTGTTGCTCAGAAGTGGCATCCACCGTTAGCAAGGCTCGCCTGCTGCTGTAGGAAGTCTCAGGGCCTCGCCGCAGAGGTCTGGGAGACTACCCTTCCAGCTAATCCTCTACCTCTTGGGGTCTTGTCCTGCCCTAGTCTGTTTCCCAAGCACCCCTGCTCCACTCCCATGGGAGAGGCTTGACCCTGGTATTAATATTCAGTAATCCAGCCCCACTTTCTTTCAACGACCACAGGAAACACTCCTGCTCTGGGTGAGCTCTGTCTCTTCCCACCCCCAAAAGTCCTTTAACTGAGACCTTGGCTTAGACAGATGAGGGGGCTGCCAGCAGAGGGAATATGTTGCTCCAGAGGCTAGGAGTGAGGGGACAAGGAAGAAAGACATGGTGACTGTCTTGTTCCTGAAGACCAGGGCTCTTCCCTCCTGACAAACCCATGCCTCTCCTTTTGGCTGCAGGCATTCCCTGATGGTCCCAGACTGGAAGCTCCCAATGGGCCCATCGTGTCTTCTCTGATAGGCTCAGAGAAGGGGAGAGGGATGGGAGGCCACAGGCTTGATTGCATGAAGGCTGGCTGAGCCCACTGATTCTCTGGTTTTAGATGGACATGGAGGGAAGGAAGGTAGGTGGGGGTGAGAAAGATGCCCTCCTCCCCAGGAAATGGGAGGAGGCTGCTACCGTTGCTGGCTTTGC